GGTTACAGTAATAATGTTCCTTATGGTATTTTTGACTCTTTTTGGCTATGTTGGACCACACAAGAAAAAGCTGCACAACTTCAGTGAAATGATTGTAATGCTTTGGCTCATTGTTCTTCTGATGGTGAGTATTAATCCTCAGCTACATGAAACAATGATCAAAGCCAGCAAGAACTCAACAAGTATACCTAACTGCAGTAATGAGAGTCAAGCTATCACTGATTTATCTGTACTACTGGCTGTACTCTACTATTTTCCAGTTGTCATTTGCTTAGCTATTTTGTGTTTTTCAATAGTAAAAACAATGTGAGTACTTTAAACATTTGAGATTATCGTGATACTTGTTATAATTTTTCTAGAATAAAGAAACTGAAGGAAGTGTTGAGAAAAAAGAATTACAATAAAGAGGAAAACAATGTTAGCTTGCTTGATACTGCTTATGTGTTGCTTGATGATGCTGCACGCAAATCAATCCCTTTTACTGAATTAGTTGATCCAAGGAGTGACACAGAATTATAAACATGACATGTACTTGTGTGTCTATTATTATAAGTGAAATTATTATAAGAATTTTAATAGCTTGTCTGTATTTTGTTTTTTGCTGTGGTATGTTGTTTATGATTATGTAATTGGCATCGGCTTTTTGGCACAATAGCAATAATGGCAAATATTTCAAAATTTTAATCACAAGGAACTACTGGTAGCTGTTTAACGTATCAGTTGATTCACAAAATTTGAATCATAAATGTGTTTTTTTACAAAATTCTTAGTAAAAATTAAATTTTAAAATAGTGCAGTATGGTAAATAAGTAAGTAAAAATTTTAAACTTGATATAAATAAAACATTATGCTTAAAAATTTGGTATGATAAATAATTGAAACCAGGCCTTAATATTTTTGTTGACGCAATAGGCCATTGTGTTAGTAAGAATTATTGTTCTAACAAAAGATTTGTTTCGAAAGGTCAGCATTAATTATTGAGGTGTGAATTGGCGTAAAAAATTTAGTTGGTGATTATTATTTGTCCAATCACTACTGAGACACAGGTCGCAGAGCAGCAGCATCAAAACTGAAAAGGATAGTGTATACAAGTCCTCACTGACGTTATTGTAACATTCTTGACATACATATCAAACTATTATTAGAACAAAGATAGAAAGATATTGTGTTCCTTGAGAAGTTTCTCTGCTTCACATGGAGGATTGTCAGTAAATGAATGACTGTTCTCTTCACCTATCTAGTGATCTTGGTGGCCCATCTTTAAGAGTTGCAGATGCTAAGGAGTGATCCGGAATATTGTAATTAATACAGAATTAGTTTGGAATACAATATTGCTATTAGGTACCAAAATTTAATATGATTTTCAAGCAAATTAGACTCTATTAGTTTCTAATCTACTAGCCAAAATTAATAGTGGGCTAGCCAAGTTTGTTTACTAACCACAACATTGAAATGTCTTTTGTTCATTTAATGAGATATGGCAGCAGAAGAAGGAGCAGCTTTTGATAATCATGTCCCAGCTACTGAATATAGTAATACTCTGTTCCTTGACAGCTTCTCAAAGAACATAAGAGAAGATCTTTGGACTAACACCACCTTCTACACATTTACTAATTTCGTACTGCAAGGAGGCATTACTTTACAAGGGGCCACTGTCCTCGACTTGGGATGTGGTGATGGCATGTTTACTCGTTGGGCAGCTTCGCAAGGAGCTTCTAAAGTTGTTGGGATAGATCTATCAGAGGAGCAAATTGCTGTTGCTTCCAAAATGGATGATGACCATCATTCAGCTGGCATTGAGTATCATGCTAAGGATGTGATGGACATTAGGACTCCAGAATATGGTGAGTTTGATGTCATCATAGCTGTCCACTTGATTTGTTATGCAGATAACCCTGAAAAGCTGCAGCGTATGCTTCAAGCTATGTCCCTTTGTTTGAAAAAGGGTGGTCGTTGCATTGGAGTACGGGAATGTCTCGATTCTGCTTTAAAAGGTCCAGTGTCAATGAAAATGAAAGAAGAAATAAAGAATGGGCCAATGCTTGCATACCAGATAATACCACAGTCAGATGAAATTGTCGAGAGCAAAGATTGTGACGATTTTTGTGCTTGCATTAATGAGTTTCAAAATTCAGATGGCTCAATCATAAAGTTCATGAGTTACGTAGTGAAAGAATCAACAATGATTAAAATGTTCAATGATGCTGGATTTGAAGTGAATACCTGTGGACCAATGTTGACTTGCTCTCCAGAGGGAAAAAAGATGTTTCCAGCTGATTTTATTGACAAAGTTACAAATGATTATGGGAAATTATTGTGGTACTTTGATATTACTAAAACTGAATGACTCTAGAAATATTATTGAGTGCAATCCATAATAATATTTATTGCTGCAATTAGTTTTTCGTGCTCATTTTGAATGATGCTATTGAAAAACCTCACATGTACATGAATGTAGTGTTATCAATGTTCTTGGCTTGTAATGATGGCTGACCATAGTAATTCTAAAGTGTAATGGTTGCTTCCACTGAGATACAACCAATAAAGGACTCATTAAAGGATGAGGCTGGTTACTTCTGCTTGGTGAGAGATTATTGATGTGCCTTACATACATAAACTATTATTAGAACATAGATAGAAAATGAACAATTAATGTAGCTAAAATAAAAAATTATTGTGCTCCTTGAAGTTGCTTTAGAAGTTTCTCTGCTTCAGATGGAGGATTGTCAGTAAGTGAATGACTGTTCTCTTCACCTAAAACTTTTGGTATTCGAACTAGTGTTCTTGATGGCCCATCTTTAGGAATAGCAGATGCTAAGGAGAGAGAATAATTACTGTCTTAATACAGGAAACAAGAATGATATAAAGTATACGCACAATCATTGCCAGGCAATGAAAGTAATGAAACAAAGTGCTATATCAGGAATAAGAATACCAATTACCAGTATATACCCCAGTCACTTTTCATCACACACTACGTGTGCATGTATATTAAAATCAGTCAACTTATACTTACTTTTATTTCCACCACGCTTTCGTCCCCTACAGAAAGAAAAGTAATTATTATTATTATTAATTATTTAGAACTCACTGTTTGAATACACTACCAGTCTGCAAGCACTGAAGCAAGTTATCCAAAACACCTTCTTCATCATCATCTGCAGTAATCAAAATAATTAATACAGTGCATGTACTACTACAGGTATATGTACAAACCTCCTTTACTGATGTCAATGACACCAGGTCTTGTCTTTTTAGGTTGAGACATTTTGTTCATTTTTTCTCTCTTTGCCATTTCCTGTATAACAAACAAAACAAATATTGTGTGCTGTAACTTGAAAATGACAATTACTTCTCTTTCTTTCTGCTTTCTCTGCTTTTCCAATTGTTCCCTAATTTTCTGGTTTTCTTTTTTAGCTCTCTAAAAAAACAAATCAAGTGAAACACAAAAATATTAAATAGTATCCATGAAAAGATACATGCAACTCATAAAATAATTCCCAATAAATTATGCCATAATCAAGCAACACTGACAACCCTGTACACATGTACATGTACATTTGAATACTATGAATTTTCAAGTAAATACAGCACATTCTAAATTACATACATGTACGTACATGATGTATAGTGTACATGTACAATAGAAATGACTTAAACTACCTCAAAGTCTCGTAAAAATGTTGCAAGATCACCAAAAAATTCCTCCATACTTGTCTTCTTCCTGTCAAAGCAGAAAAACTTGGAGAGTTCTTCATATCTTTTCTCCATTAAATCAAATTGCTGCTTTAATGAGTCAAATTCAGTTTGAGCAGTTTTAATAAAAGACTACAAGAAATATACAAAATAATTTTGATTTATCATGCTATATACATGTACACACTCACAGTCATCCTGCTGGCAAACTTGTCTCCAGAATCTTGAGGCTTCTTGTGTCTTTCTACTTCACCCTTCAGCTTTTTCAAACCACTTTCCATTTGATGCACTTGCTTTGATATAAGCTCGTCAGAACCTATAAATTACAGACTAGTACTTAATTCACATGTCTAGTGAAAACTTAATACTGCCAATAAAATTTTAATATGAGTATTAAAAATGCTACACAATACTGCGGGGTACACAATACCACAACCATAATAGCCACACTCAGTAAATCATCGGAAAATGGTAGCTCTTAAGAAGCACACAGTAATGTAGAGAATGAGAAATTTTCCCTTTGTCTCTTTGTGAAATCACCCCAAATTTTTATACATTTCCTGATACATATTGATGCTCTTATGCTGTGTAGAAAGTTTGAGCTAATTCCGACTTCAATTTTTCAAGTTATGGCCATTTTAAGAAAACACCAAAATTCTGAAAAATACCCAAGGCTATATATAGCCCATGATTTTTTCCAAAAAATGGCTCCAAAATCACCCCAAACTTTTATTACATTTTCTGATGCATATTGATGTCCTTATGCTGTGTAGAAAGTTTGAGGTGATTCCAACTTCAATTTTTTGAGTTACGGCCATTTAAAAAAACGTCAAAATTCTGAAAAATACCCAAGGCTATAGCCCATGGTTTTTTCCAAAAAATGGCTCCAAAATCACCCCAAATTTTTATTACATTTTCTGATACATATTGATGCCCTTATGCTGTGTAGAAAGTTTGAGCTTATTCTGACTTCAATTTTTCAAGATATGAGCATTTGAAAAGTCAAGAAAACAATTATTTTTGAAATAAAAGCAAATTTGGCTCATGTTTTCTGTTAGAAAAATGGCTTCCCAAAAAAACACTAAACACTGCACATGTAGCACTCTCCCAGGAATATATGTACTTTAATACTCACATTTTGAAGCTTCTTCAACATTTCTTAGTTCAGCAACAAAGTCAACCAAATGAGGGTATCGTAATTCAACAGTATTGGCTAAGAAATGAAGCAAAGTTGTGGTCATATCAGCCGATTTAGTTCCTCCAAGCTAAAAAACAAATGATAATAATTAATTACATAAACATAAAATTCACATTAATGTGTTAAATTTTTAATACACATACATGTACATGTAACGCTTCAAAACTTTAAGGCGGATTTACAATATGACATTAGGCCAGCGTACCGTCAATTTTTAATCAAAAACGTGGGCGATTTGACCTTTTGACGCATGCTTTCCGCTGGAATAGAACCAGATTCTATTCCAGCGTCAACGTAACGCCAGGACTAGCGTAATATTGTAAATCCGCCTTTATACATGTACATGTACATGTATATCTGACCTTTGTGAGGTAGCTAAGATCAAAACCAAAAGATTGGGCATTTCTTGATCCAGTGTTCATATAGTTTCCCATTAACAATACTAACTAAAGTAATAAAAAATATTATAAAATTAATATTTGCACTTCACTTTAGTACAGAAACATGTAAATTAAACTACATGTACATGCATTCAGTACACCAAGCACATCAGTACATGTACATGTATGTATACATGTACATGTACACAACTGTTACACAGGAGCTTTTCACATAGCAGTCTGATAAAGTTTAAATTAGTTTAATCTACTGTGCATACATGTACAATGTACATGTACATGTGTACATCTAGAATGTTAATATCTTAAGTTGAAGAATCATTATTCTGACATCACCATAACAAATTAATGGCAAAAACAAGATACAATATGTATCTCATTTTTATACATGTACATGTACACATGTACCTGTAGCAAAGATATTACATGTATGAACATACATGTACACCTTTACTAAGGCATTGTACACGTACCTCTAATAATTGAGAAAACTTTTTGCTGTTTTTAACTTCTCTGCAAGCCTGAGTCACTGAATTAACCATCTAAAAACACAAAGTGGATTAGACGAATTAATTCTTAAGACAACTCACAGGTTTCAATTCCTCCAGCTCCTCACTGAACCTCACTTTGAAGAGCATACACTCCAACCTTTCTTCAAGTCTCTTCACATCACTCATCTGAAAAAAGAATGTAATATAAACAGAAAGCAGTACAATGGACTCCATTGTTTTAAAAACTAGATCTACATTAAATAAATAAGTTTTTTTGTCAAAACCTTTAGCAGAACTCAATGTCCAACATGCATATGTACATGCATGAGTACAATACATATGACATACATAAATCTTCAAATGATGTTTTAATGTATAGAAAGAATATGAATACTAGCTAATACATGCAAGCACAAATTAGTACTACACTTCAACTTACAACAACTATAAACTGTTCAGCTTCACTTAAATCTTGAATTTTGCTACGAAAAGTTGATAACTGTTCAACCTATTAGAAGATAATAATAATACGCATGACATTACAATACATGCATGCATATACCCATGTGTAAAATGTACACGCGTACATGTACATGTATACTATATCCCAACTGAGTTTGACCCAAGAAAAACTGGAATAACTTTTTATAGGAATGTGGGATAAGGATGAAACTTTCACAGGTTCTTAGTCGCCCAATGCCATCACAGGATCTCAGGTCTTGGGTCTCTCAGCCCTTGGGAACCCTGAGAACCGGGTTCTCCCTATAAACCCAATGGCATACCAAAATGACGTTTTATGACAATTTATCTATGTCATAGTTTACATAAGAACATGTGGTCGAGCGCCCAAACTGATAATTCTTCTTTTAAAAAGCTAACATAGCAAGATCTTTTGATAATAATGGCCAATATGAAGACTAGTTGACTCCAGAAGCTATTGTACTGCTTATCAGAACAAACAAAGGCCATTTAAAAGTGAAATACAGGCCAACTAGGCACCTGTAAAATATCGGCCATGCTTCTATGAATATCATTATAAGATGTCATTAGTGACGTACGGCTACATTTTTCAAATTCCAAGCGGCTGGTGTCAAACTCAGTTGGGATATAGTATACATTATAATACAAAAGAAACACATAAAACAGAATGTATGGTCTTTTGTCTGTGTACAGAACTTTAAAAATTTTTGGCCATTAATTTACTATAGCTAAAAATTTTGTGAATCAAAACTTCTGCTAATATTGAGAATTTAAAAAAGGAACAAGATTTAATCTTCAAAAAATCTATCAATTAAGTATTGCAAGCTAAGGTGCATAAGGTGTATTCACAAAATTTAATGCTCACACAAATACAAATAAATATTGTAAAACCTCATTCATTGTACCTCTTCTTTCTTTGGCATGTACTTCAGTAGTTGTTCCAACATTTGTTCAGTGATCTTATCATCCACTGACAATACGAGATCCCGTACATCCTTATAAGGCATTCTCAAATTACCCAACAATAGAGCTAACGACAAGAGAAAGAAAGAAAGATGAAATGAAGGAGAGAGAGGGAAAGAAGGACAAAAGACAAAAATACAAACCAATACTACGTACTGTACATGTACATGTAGGTATACTTTAAAGCTGCTTATTATAATGTATTTGTGAGTACTAATTTTTGGCATCAAAAAATTAATTCTAACCAAAACACCTTCTTAGTCACTACTACGTGAATTTACACTATGGTTCATGAACATCATGCTATAGCAACAGTACTGGTATTTATAATACATGTAGCCCCCACACTGTCTCAGCCTGTATGCTCTGAATTAACAAAGGTACATGTACATGTAGCATATTGAATCATAAAAAATATTATTACATGCAAATTCAATACTATCAGCAAATTTTGTTCACTTACATGTACAATACATGTACATTAAAAATAAGAGGCCCAAAATAATATTTTGTAAATGTACATAACTTGCTATTATAATAAACCCAAGCTAGTACATGTACATGTACGTACAAATGTTTAAATAAAGTCTTACAAATATTTTGTGCTGATTTTGCGTCCAACACTTTAAGTTCTTTGATTTTGGGTAACTTCAGTTTAGGTCCTGCACTAACTTCAACGCCGCGTGCTTTACCAGTTCCAAACGTCTTCTCAATGTCTTGAAAGAGTTCAAGGGACTCAAACTGCTCTTCATTTGTTTTGACCCAAAATGAGTCAAGACTCAGCTGCTGCTTCTTGATCTACATGTACAACACAACACACAATACATAATGTACAGTAGGTAAATACATTGTATCTGCACACACACCACTGGTTTGTAAATGTGAAACATATGATAGACACAATAAAAATAGAATCATACTTTATTTAGTACCATCCCCTGGTACCATAACATACTACAATAACTACACAGTGTTTTTATTAGAATTTTTGCCAAAGGGAGATGTAGAGTTTAATGTTTAATGATATATATGTAACTGGCACACAACGACACACACATACATGTACATGTACATGCAACTGAGCAAAGACTCACGTCAAATCATGTGAATTTTTTTAGTCAGAACTATGTATTTTTAAAAAGCAGATATTTAAAAATCATATTCAGAATCATGTAGAGACTTAATTTTTGCTACAAATTGTACATGTACAAGTACATGTATGTATGTATGTATGTAGTATGTATGTATATGCCACTCACTTGATTCCAGTTCATTCTTCTTGTCTGGACATCTAATTTATATTTCTTTTTTTCTTTGACAGGCGGTCCAATGGGAATAGCAAATCCAGGACCTAAAACACAGCAACAATGAAAACAGCTTCATATCACACTGAGTTATATATATGCACATGTACATGTACATCAGATAATTTAAAAACTACATGTACAAAGTATATGCCTTATAATAAAGTAATGTAATGTACATGTACATATAGTATACAGTAATGTACATACATGCAGGCCTTCATCTAGGATTTTATACAAGGGGGGGCGGGGTTAAAAATATTTCAAAGAAGGGGGGTCACTAATATTTTCTATTGTGCATGCATACGACACTTATACAATTTACTACTGTGGTGATGAAATTTTTCACGTTAATAAGACAATCAAGGGGGGGGGGGCGAGCGCCCCCCTCCGCCCCCCCTAAATGAAGCCCTGACATGTATACTGAATTATTAAACAGTACAAAATGAATGTTAAACAATTATTAACCATTAATTGTCACTATATGCATGTAGAGTGAATTACCGTATAGTGGGAAATTTTGGAGGGACTTAAATTTGATAAATTGCTAAATTTTGGCGATTGGCAAATTTTAATTTGGCAAATTTGTGGCCAAGTGCCATTGAGCATGTGAATAATGGCTCAAAATGGCGGATTTTATTTTGGCGAATGGCTATCAAAATGCTAAATTCGTCAAATTTAACTAGCTCCCTTCAAAATTTCCTGCTATACAGGCAACAATCATTATATTAATGTACCTGGTGGTGGTGGAGGGATTCCACCTCCTGGGGGTGGGGGAGGAGGAGGAGGAGCACCAGGACCCCCTGGAGGAGGAGGAGGAGGGGGAGGAGGAGGAGGAGGTGCTCCGCCCCCACCGGGAGGAGGGGGAGGGGGAGGAGGAGGAGGAGGGGCAGCTGAAGGAGGGAGAGGTGGTCCCCCTCCACCCGGAGCATTCTGAACTATAACTGGTCTCTTTGCAAGCTACAGTACAGTAGAAGAAATAAATAAAAAAAATTTTTGAGGGAATAAAATTTCTTAATTTCTAAGAGATTAAATTTGTGTTTTCATGAGTACAAATGCATTAAATACATGTGCTTAAATCACCCATGAAACCTGAAAAATTAATTATAACTCACAAAACTTTATACCAGTAAGGTATACTCATGTATACCGTATAGCCGCTTAATTTCGAGGGTACAACTTTCGCTGTTTTCGTGGATTTTCCGTATCCGCGAAAGTTAATTCCGTAAAATTATCCGTTTTGCCCATAAACACGTGTGCTTTAAAATAAGAACCGCGAAAGTTAATTTACAAAAAAAGACTTGTGGCCTGATTCGCAAAAGTTTATTGCCTCGAAACTTTGTGGCTATACGGTATACACATGTAAAGTACATGTACATACAGTAAATCATGGTCTTACCTCATCCTTGAGTCTGATGATCTCAGAGTCTCTTTCAGTGATGTCCGTCTCATATTTGATGTTGGCTTCTTTGAGTTGTTCCGTCGTTTTCATTAAAACCGCATCCATTTCATTTTTAGCTGTTTGTTCCAAATCCAACTACACAAGAATGATAGTAAATAGTTTTATAGGAGGAACTCACAAAAACAACATACATGTACATGTACACGACATACACATGTATATATGTGCATGTACATGAATAACTGATAATTTTGGCAAATTGCTAATTTTTGGTGATTGGCATGCATGCATATAATGGTTCAAATGGCTATCAAAATGCCAAAATTGCAAAGTTCCTGCCCTTCAAATTACCAGCTATACAGTGTATATGCACTTACTTACAAATCTACATGTACATGTGCTACATGAAAGGCACATGTACATGTACATGTTGATTGTATAATCTTAATGAAATAAAATTACCATAGTCTCCAAATCTTTGACTTTGACTTCCATGTCTTCAAGTCTAGCTCTATCAACAAATCCCTCTACAAAAAACACATGTACATTTCATGCATAAAATGCGTGTTTATATGGACATTGCATGAGTACAGTACTGTAGTATACATGTACATGTAAGTTATGTTGATGTAATATACAAATAAAAGCAACAATACATGTACATGTACATGTCATGTACATGTGTGTATGCAGTCGTTTCTTACCAATAATAGAATCAACGTCCAGGTTAAATTTCTGAGTGTAGTGAAAATCTGGATCCAAGCCACTTTTGTGAAGAATGATCTGAGAGACACACTTATCCACCAATTTAAAATACTGTGGCCTGTAAAACAAATGAAAATATTAAAATTTACAAGTGTCTATACTATATCCCAGTTCAGTTTGGGACGGAAGTGGAAGCAGCTGCGTGGAATTTGAAAAATGTAGCAACGTCACAAAATGACGTATTTTAATAATATTCATAGAAGCATGACGGCTGTGTTGTTTCACTCTTAAAACAGTCTTGCTCTTCATGATAAGCAGTACAATAGCTACTGGAGTCAACTAGTCTTCATAAAGGCTATCATTATCAGAAGATCTTGCTCTGTTAGCTTTTTAAAACAAGAATTATCAGTTTGGGCGCTCGACCACATGTTCTTATGTAAACTATGACGTAGATAATTTGTCATAAAACGTCATTTTGGTATGCCATTGGGTTTATAGGGAGAACCCGGTTCTCAGGGTTCCCAAGAGTTGAGAGACCCAAGATTTCACAGATTTTGATGGACTTTGGCGACTAAGAACCTGTGAAAGTTTCATCCTTATCCCACATTCCTATAAAAAGTTATTCCAGTTTTTCTTGTCCCAAACTCAACTGGGATATAGTATATACATGTATCAATCTGAATTTTGGCATAGTGTTCATGCAGCCTCTTGTTCGTGGATTGTTAAGCTGTTCAAAAATTGGGCCAAAGATCCTGTACTACAGTATTTCCACAAAAATCAGAAGAGAAATCTCTATTTATTATTTCTTTCTAAATTTTAAGCTGATTCTGATCAAAATTACAATTTTTAAGGCTGCTTCAAAATCCCTGTACTAACATGTACATACATGTCCATGGCCTCGGACCAAATTTGACCAAAAAGAAAATGAGAAAACTCTCAATTTTCATAATTTTTTCCTGATACATATACATGTCCTTATGTTGTATAGAAAGTTTAAACTGATTCTGATCAAGTTTATATTTTTTGCAATCCCAATAAACTCAATGAGAACCATTCCTAACAATATAAATGTTCATGCTACAAATTTGTGTAGATCTTATGTATGCACAGTATATGTATCATTAAGTGACATGTGTAACAGTACCTTGCCCATTGGTCATCTCTGATGAGCAATAGATGCTGTAAAATGGATAACAAGAAGCGTCCAGCTCCAGTATTCTGTGTCACACTGTAGACCATCTTGAACACTTCTTCACAATCACTACATGTATAGAAACATCATTCAATTTATGTATGATAAAATATTACAGAACAAGAGACAGTGGTGTACATGTACATTTTAGTTTTGTGTAAAGGCTGCAAACTACATGTACATTGCACATGCTTGACTGCTACATGTAAATTTACATTTACATTTTAGTTTAGTTTAGTTTTCAATAAAATATTACAGAACTTTTATCGTAGAACTTTTGTTGTAGAACTTTTAGTTTTGTGTAAAAGCTATGAACTACATAGTACATTGTACATACTTGACTGCTACATGTAAATAAAAGTGCCGAAATAAACATAATAATAATTTCAAATTAGTCTCACGTGGATAGATTATCCACCTCTTGTGTACTACTATTGATACTATACTGTACTTACTTAAATTCAAACTGAATAGCTTTCAACTTCTGTTGGACCTCATCAAAATCATTCTCTCTGTGCTCATCAAAAATATCCAAGTGAAGTGTTAAATCTTGAACATTAATCTCACGAAGTTGCTAAACAAAAAACAATAATTATATCAATTACCGTACAAGATGATTTATTGGCAGGAGTAATATTTGGCAAATTTGCCTGTAGAAAGAAATTGGCGAATTTTATATTGGCAACTTTGTGCCATGTGCTATTGAGCATGCTCAGATTGAAACAAAATGGCGGATTTTATATCGGCGATTTCTTCATAAAACCGCCAATGGCCAATACATGTAAATCATCATGTACATGAATGGTATACTATACTAATGATATTGTGGTCTTACAGCTAACACTTCCCCAAGACCAAATCTCATAAACTCATTCCTCAAGTGAACACGGAAATCCAATTCATCCGGAGTATTGACAATGGCGTTAATGAACTGCATGCAGGCTAGTTGAAGGACTGGGTTTTTCGTCCCTTTCAGCGCTTGGAGTATAGGATCAAACCGACCAAACCCACACATTTCCCCATTAGTAGTTATAGCCTCCAGTATCCTGTCATGACTAGGGGAGGAGGAGGAGGAGGAGGAGGAGGAGGAGGAGGAGGGAGGAGTCAATAAATACCAAATTACAAACAATTACATGTACATGCACATACATGCATATGTACATCAGTGTTTTGATGAGCTAAATTGGTGCCCAATTACCAATATAGATCGGGAGTCGGGACAAATTGAAATTCACAAACATAATGCTACTTCTGCTATTTTTACAATATTGGAGGAAGAAAAAGTCATTTGGTGCAAAATGTGCATAAATTTGGGCCAAATTGGTGCAGAGTCACATTTCTTATTAAAAGCCTAATACGTATGTACAATTGTACATGTATTCAGGGTTTCACAAGTAAATAAAAAACATTAAAAATGGAAAAGTAGTAGG